TGACGAGCGCACGCACGCACGCACGCACGCACGCACGCACGCACGCACGCACGCACGCACGCACGCACGCACGCACGCACGCACGCACGCACGCACACTTACGGGCGGGTTTAGGAAGTAGACGGTGACGGCTCCTACGAGCGGTGAGATGCCAATGAGAGGTTTCAAGACGAAGCGCATCGTTCCATGCATCGTAATGTTCTTCACTCCGCAGCGAATCCTGTTGACGGCCACCTTGACGTTCATGTCGCCGGCGTAGCTGCGGCGAACGAAACACGTGACGACAAGCGAACATCTCGACAAGCGAACATCTCGACAAGCGAACATCTCGACAAGCGAACATCTCGACAAGCGAACATCTCGACAAGCGAACATCCTCGACGGCCACCGTTACGTCATAACGGACGCGAAACACGGTCTAATGCAGACTATTAATTATCAGATATTGAAATTATTGAAATATTGATTATTGAATATCAGACTATTATTACTTATTACGACTAGACACAGACTGGCATCACGAAACACGGTCTAAGGCAGACTATTAATTATCAGATATTGAAATCATTGAAATATTGATTATTGAATATCAGACTATTATTACTTATTACGACTATAGACACAGACTGGCATCACGACTAAGCGCAGAATAGTCATGTGATTATGCATTACACTTATGATTGGTTTACTTTGGTTATTTGAAGTTTTGCGAAATGAGGTGTCTGAAACAATTGGATTAGGCAACTGGCGATTGTGGTTCAACATTCAGAAAAACTTGCTTATTGTAACATGCGGATTCATGCATCATATGAGTTTATGCAAAGATTTGTCATCGATTTCAGATTACTAGGGTGAGTGGATATATCAGATTAATTTAGTAGAGATTTATTATTTCATCGGCATATGCCAATGCTTCTTTGTATACGAGTTCCAGATTAAAGAAATTCGTTTCTAAAATATATTGCCATGAACTTAGAATATTGAATGCAATTCACACAATTTCGTAAAATTATTCATACATACAATGGGACCCATTCCGTAACTACCCAGCACAAATCTGTTATGATTTCTGAAATAGAATGGGGACTCACAATATTTCCATATCCATGACAATTTCATCCCTATGCACAGCGTCTGTGTATACCTTGACTCCGCCAACTCTTGGTGCCTAGACAACAGAAAATGCAATTTGTGTTTATATTGGTTTTATGTGAATCATAGAACTACCAACATAAATGCATTGATGCATATTACGCAAATACAGACTTTTCATTTGTCAATGTTGTTAAAAACCACGCACATAGTTAATTTTAACACATTTTCAATGGGACATTCCATAGCATGTGGATAGCATATATGTAGGATACTATATAGCATATAGTATAGAACTTGTTGTATTATGTTATTTACATATGATTATGTAACTGCAGTGTGCACTCATCGACTTAAAAATAGCTTACAATGTCGCCGAGATCACATTTTTCGAACATGAATGACTTGAGCGATGAAGGAAGGTTGTCTCGTATGCTTGGCTCTATAATATCCTTCATTATCTGGTTGGCAAAGTCGTTGATGTATGGCCACATTTGCAGTATTATCTGAAGCAGAAATAGTCTGATAAAGATCCTAACAAGCTTAGTTAAACTTAATATTTAATTATTATTATTTTAATATAATTAATATTAATTATAATTTATATTAGTTTATTAGTTAATTTATTATTTCACATGAGTATACATTCCGTGTTATAACGATATGGCTAAGATATACAGCCAGTACCTTGACATTTGTATGTACTTTACCAACAGGATTCCTAAATACTTTTCTGTGTAACAGTATTACACAATAACATACTTATCATATTAACTTAATAATTCTCACATAAATTAGCATATATTAATAGACATGTATACGTACAACCTATCATGAAACAGACTATGTCTACCATACGTTACACTGCCATTACAGAGACTCCCCGACTTACGAACTTTCGATGATACAAACAATTTGCCCTGAAGTCCATTAGTGTATAATGTCGCTGAGAGGGTCTATGTCCCCCAGGGTACTATCGGAGGGTACCCTGGGTACGGTCCGGTAATACCGGAACGTACCCTGGTACTATATCTAATATGCCGGACCGTACCTCGCCTACTCCACTAACGAGTCTAGGGAGTCGCCTACGCCTACTCCCTAACCCTAACACTAACCCTAACCATATCAGATAGTTACCAGGGTACGTTCCAATATATCGAACCGTACCCAGGGTACCCTCCGATAGTACACTGGGGGACATAGACCCTATGAGCTATAATGTCAATATTGGTGAATAAAAAGACACAATCGCCCCCCTGATTTTGACTTTCGCCAACTCCTGTATTCACGTATATGTTGACACTATGTAAACTTCAAGGTTACTCGATGTTCACACGTACATATACTACACTACTGTACAATACTGCATACGTACGTACATATGTTCGACTTATAAACAAATCGACTTACGCACGACCGCTCGGAACCGAACCTGTTCGTAAGTTGGGGAGTCTCTGTATATGTCGTGGAAACACCGGCCAAGCAATAAATGGCTGGCCTTTATCCACTCACAGCTTTACTATGGGTATTTATTATAGATAAAGTTGTCAATAGGCCCTTTATGGGTTTACCCAGTGCGTTACTATGGGAATTTATCGCCAAGTTTATACCATTCTAACACACAAATCAAACCACAGATTTTACGTACTTTTAAAACAACTGACGAAACGTGGAATGAAAGGAAAGTAGAAACGTGGTTGCTAAAAATATATTTCCCCACGCTCTAACGATAATTGCAAATGATACATTTAAAAATGAGGAAAAATACCTTTCAATCGTATAAAACTGACAGAAATACTCGATTAATAAATTCACGGCCGCGTGGCGAACTGGTGAACATTCATGATCATCGACCCGGATTCACGTTCGTCTTCAACATATAGTCATACCAGTCATATAGTCATACCTTGTTCAACCATTCTGCTCGCTCTACGTCCGGAAAGAACACCTGTGAAAACGAAGCAAAGAAAACATGTAAATATTATGTGTATAATATGTATTATCAATGCTGAACCACGATTGAGTATATGGTTCAGCATTGATAATAAACTAAATGATATATACAGTATTCACAGGGGGTAGTTGAATACCAACTATTCCACTTGCCTAATGGAATATAACTAGCTTCATAGTATTGATTCCCATCCTGTACAGGCAGGCTAGCCTCGGTGCTTTTGCTATGCTTACACATCGAAACATTTGAAATCACACGCAATGACTTCCATTGACTGCTATAAATGCGTATCAGGTGTGAATGAAAATAGACCATTTAGTACATACGTGTGTATCACCCGAAAATGCAGGAAATTCAGCAGCCGCGACTGACTTATAACAATGGCATCACTGGCAGTGATGGGGATTACTGAAGTAACGATAGAGTTGGCGATTCTTTCCCAGTCGAAAAACAGGAGGGTACTTACTATACGTATAATTTATGAGCATTCAGCGCTCTAGCAAAATATTCACGTTTTTGTCTAGACTTCCCCCCTTACACACAGTAACCCAATGGTATCAGGAGTGTATAATAATAATTATCTATTATCTATATATGTATATTATCTATTATTATACATTCCTGATTGTATCATATTGTAAAGTGAGTCATAGAATGGGACAGTGAGTTACCAGTAGGGGCGTAAATCCGTACCGAGGAGTGGGGGGGGGATGATCACGCGAAGGGGGGGTCTGGGGCCCTCCCCCAGAATTTTTTTGAAATTAGACCCCCTCAGATGCGTTTTCTTCGCGAGCAAGGAGGGGGTCCGGACCCCCTGGACCCCTCCCCCCCCTGTACACGCCCCTGCAGTAATTGAAATGATTTAGGTCTGCCCATGTCTCAAAATTATCATAATTAGCTAAACTTTCAAGTGGGGAACGGAGGAAGGAGTTTTTTTTTTGAATCTCAGGGGGGATATTTGTACAGGCCATCCCCCCCTCCTTCAAGAGCGGGGGGATGCATCCCCCCCATCCCCCCCCGGGATTTACGCCCATGGTTACCAGACTTACAGATCCTATTTTAATCTGCTGGAAACTGCATGTTTACCACTGCGTGACATCTTTTCTTATATGTTACCTTACATGTTGTTACATTAGTCACAGAGTATACTTATCACTTGGCTAGACTTTTACAACGCTTGAATCAGTGCGTGTGGTTGCATGACTCGAACGTAGCATGCCTAGTGTGCATGAGTGAGTAGTATGTAATGAGGTGCAGCATGCTGAGGGATTCACACATGCATGACTACGACCCCACCCCACCCAATACATCGCCCTCCCTGCAGCAGGAATGATTCAGTCTAACCCAGGATGCTGGATATAGCAGCAATCTTTCCCGGATAATTTACAATAAACCGGCATGCACAGTTGATATACACGGGTTCATACTATTGCTGTAATATTCATACTAACAAGAGCGTAGTAAGTATGCATACTTAATACGTACACTCTTGACACTAATTTATACCGGGTCCTGTGCATTTAGACGAGCAGCATTCTAGCTGGTAAGAACTGGAGGATCACAAAAGCTAATAATACCTAATAAAGGTCATATTAGCTCTTGATGATTACCATAACCTGTCGAACTTCCCAGTTGTTGAACTATATACGGGTTTCAGCGCAGACGGCTAGCGATGTTGTAGGATAGCGCAGGCTCCCGCAGAGATTCAACATACCGCCTTACACTAGCCGCCCCACCTAAGCAATCACCATAAACAACAAACCTCATCGCTCCAAGTGATACATAATAATAGAACGCCGCAGGTAATCACAACGCCCCTTAGCATCCGAGTACACTAATGACTCGAGGGCCGATCTGCGAGGGTTAATCCCCAGGTAGGAACTCGGCTCTCATCCTTTCCGCAGCACAGTCCAGTTTTCGCCTAGCTCCTACACCCTATTCCAGCGATACTTCTCCGCTCTACCTTCCACCGACCTACCTTCACCCCGCCGAGCGCCTCCGCGAACCGCCTGTCTAAGGTACGGAATTACTCGTATTCGATTACGCGACACGCGGCGCGAGTGTTACGACTTGGAGACATCTGCATAGTATCAAGAGTACATAATAGAGATCTCTATTATGTACTCTTGATAGTATCGTAGGATTGTGTTTGATTAGGCTGAAATAGACGCACGAAGAGTAGTTTTCATAATACTGTGTTTCTGTTATCTATCGACGCAACCTGACACTACCCTTAAAACGGGTGCCACTACGGCACCTACTAATAAACCGAGAACCTGGAAACGGGAAGCTGAAAGCCTTCCTTAGAATGTAGGCACGCACGCACGCACGCACGCACGCACGCACGCACGCACGCACGTACGCACGTGCACACACGTGTAGAAATTCGATAGGTGCAACGCCTAATGCCCACGGACTTGTGCTTCCCTTAATTTTTAGTGCGTTCATCAAAACGCATACTGTGCATATGGTGGTGGCAATAAATATGGAGGGGTTTGTGTAGACAGCTCGCTGCAACAGCTGCTCTGTCCATGTACATTCAACGCAGCACACAAGAGCACTGACTCCACTTCTGCTCATTGACATTCTGTAGTGCAAGCGGATATATTACTGGGCCAGCTGATCACAACGTGTACCGCTATACCCAGCCTACCTTGAAAAGTCAAAATTGGCCTATCATGTGTCATGGCCAACCTCGACCAGACCCAAGCCCTGCATCTTGCTTGCTAGTACACCTAGCAAGTGCCTGCCATTTCCATAAACCGCTGGTACCAATACTACTTACACGCCCGCCCGCACCCACGCCCCGCACGCCCACGCACGCACGCACGCACATACATATATATACATGCGCGTGCCTGCTAGCAAGAACTGCGATAGCAGGTAAAAAATAACAAATTAGCACAAGAAGTTTGTACTACACTGCCGAGATCTGTTGACTGGTGCAAAAACTTCACGTTGTAAGATCTATGCCGACAAACGTTAATAGGCGAGCAAATAGCTTGCCAAACCTATTAGTACGAATGCAGTCAGGTGGGGTATCCCCAGTTTTTCGAGGACATTGGGCATAAACTGACCAGCGACATTGGTCGCAGATGGTAGGCTGATCAACTACATATCAGATCAGGACAATACTTCTATCATCATGAGCCAATATGACTAAAACAATACTACATAAACTCACTGGCAGCTGGATCAAGTGAAGTCACCCCTACCACGCTCACGCTACAGCACGTGTGTAACAGGGCGCTATTATATAGGTATTATCAGGAGTAAGATAATATAGGAGAGTAGACTAGAATAGAAGAAGAGAAGAGAAATAGAAGTAATAGAAGAGTAACCTATATTATCTTACTCCTGGTATTATTAGCTCTTTATGTGTATGTGCGTGTGCGTGCGCGTGCGTGCGTGCGTGCGTGCGTGCGTGTGTGTGTGCGCGCGCTGTAGAGTGAGCGTGGTGGTGGTGGGGGGACTTAAACGTGCTATCAGTGCCATACACTATATACCAGGGGTGACTAATGACAAATTTCACCTAAATTAACACAAATTTGTCATTATTCACCTCTGCTCGATCACAAAACTACCTAAACCATTCTATAAAAAACGTTGAACAAAGACAAACGTTGAAAAAGAGAACATGCAGGCTGCCTAAGACGGGCGCACCATATCGATTCTATCAGGGGGCGAATAATGACAAATTTGTGTGAATTTGGGTGAAATTTGTCATTACTCACCCCTCGCTTCCACGCAATAATTCGGGACCCTTGAGAATCTCTCCTGAAAATCAGCAAATACAAAGGCATATAGATATAAACAAGAGCTAATAATACTTAGGTAATCAGTATATAACCTCTAATAAAGGCATTATTAGCTCTTGATATAAACAACAACCTAAGTTTATATCTATAGGCCTTGGCAAATACTGATCAACACTTGTCATGCTGCCCATGCATCACTGTTTGATCGATCCCGTATAGTTTCTACCCAGAGGCAGACATCCCTGATACTGATAGACCAACGCGCGCGAAAAAGGCGTTCGTGCTATTTTTAGTCGTGTAAAAATACCGCTTTTATGCCTGCCCGATCACATAGACTGCAGAGAGGTGCAGCAGTATATATATAACAGCCAGCTGCAAAGCTCATCCTATACCGCCTAGACAACCTCCCACACACGTGTTCACATTCACACGTATAATTTCTATGCGATATTTAGTTGTACTGTAAGATTACTATTTTTATTCGGTAATTATTATAAGATGTGTGTATAGAGAACGCGCAATTTCTACGTGTATACACCTGGTAAAGGATTCTAGGTACATAACACCAGGAGTAAGATAATATAGGATCTATACTATATTATCTATATTATCTTACTCCTGATAACACCAGGAGTAGATAATAGGGATCCCTATTAATAATCCCTATTATCTACTCCTGATAACACAGGTATGCGATGCCGTGAATCATTGTTTACGTTACGCATATTCTACACTGTGAGTCTGTGTGTACATTCAGCAGATCATTATAGAATTTAATAGCTTTGATTCACGCAATGCACAATAACACAACATTGAACAATTACCACGAACCCCGCCCCACTACGATGTACAGTATGACAACAACATTATGCATTCTACTATGGGTGGGTGTATAGCAGGCAAGGGACGGGAACGACATAGCCAAAGAATGCAGCCTGACCAGCAGCTGATTTTGTTGGGGTGGGGCGCGTATAATAGCTCAACGTACACACGGAATCAGGAGTGAATAATAATAGATATTCTATTAGATTCTGATAGATATTCTATTCTATTATTATATTCACTCCTGATGTTAAGTTATACAATTAGAAGTGTATAGTATAGGAGTATTTTAGGAGTATTATGAGTGTGGAGGTGTTATAGGAATGTAGAGTACTATCACCGAGTGTATAATCTATATTATATAGAATATTATATATTATAATCTATATTATACACTCCTGATACAATCACAACGGTCTAGATTACGTCTATAGTAATAGAACTGATCAGCACAATATTGCAGATGCCATTATCCATGCCATTAAATTTAATGCCATTATGCATGCCATTACATGCTTTATCCAAACGATGATTGATTCTATTCAATATTCAATCTAATTGCACATTCGCACACGTGCACGTGCACGTCTTTACAGTAAATCACACATTCCATGTGTTTTACTCGTATGTTTTCATTCTAATTGAAAGTTAACATGCATAAATTCGAATAGTGTATTATGTAATGAGAATTAACGTTGACAATAACACCTTACTTATCTACTGATAAGTAAATTAATGATAATTATCTACCTATAACTACAATATTCACTACATTTTTGAACGGAATTCTCAACATCGTTTATCTTATCTTAGGCAAGCTTTCCAGGGCATGTATATCCCAACGATCAATACCACCTATCAGTCCTGGACAGTGGACACTAAACTCGTACTGACTGTAGACAAGAATCATTCCTATATACGATCCCAAGAGTTTAGACAGGGCCTTCTCATTGACACGCCTGCATTCATGGATACTTTTGTCGCGAACAATCACAGCTGTTTTCAATATTACGTACATGTTCCTGTTACATCATGATGATAATGCAGAGAGAACCTACAAACGTGAACGCTGCAATTCCTTGCTTTGAAGCAAGTTTGTTATGCTTCAGGAATGCTATAATATGCCGACGAGTTTCTCATCATACCCCACATATATATATAACCTTGCAAACTAGTTGACTGGCAGCACAGATCTCTAAAATACACACACGGGGCGAGGTTCATTGATGCAAGACTGCACATGCTTTGAAGATGTCAACACAACTATATATAGAGCTCTATAAAGTGCCCCCTTTCATGACTAAATTTTTAAAGCATAACAACACGCCCGACTTCACATTTCGGAGTGAAAAAATGTGCGACTGCGGTGACTTTTAGAGGGTTTCAAATTTCATCATTCAGGGGTTGTTGTTTTTTAATTTGCATCTCGTGGCTCCTGCATTTCAAGCTGCCTTCAATGCCTTCAAGCTGCATTTCAAGCTGCATTTCAAGCTGCATTTCAAGCTGTATCAAGCTGTACATTTAACTTGTGGGGGAAAAAAATGTTATACCTACCTACCCTAATTTTTACTATCCATGTGACCCGAACCAAAGGTATTTTTTTGTTTGGCCTTACTCACTAAATGTCTGTATTAGTCGTCCACACATTTTCTCATTTCTCTGTATTCATGACAAACACAATTACCTTGCTCTTAAACAGATTAATCTTCCATATATTCATTAATTAAAAAGTGGCGCATGCTCACCCAGCTTGGCAGGTCTTCAATCGATGCAAGTATAACCTCCTTTTCATTGTTGACAATCTCATGCTGTACCATGCGCTTTTCAATCTGCTTGTTCTGTTTGTAACTGGTCCACAGCCATATCGGCAGACCTAGTAGCACCCACGACAGGCTATACCTGAAAGGAACAGATAGCGAAGATATATAGTAATGACCACGAAGACTATAACAGATCCCTTCATTACTGGGATTGCTCCTGGTAGAGATAAATGATAACAACAAACTGTAACCCATGGTTACAGGGCAACAAGTAATAATCACAAGGTGCGAAATTAATGGGAGTCTGGAGTCAAATACTCCCTGATTTACTGTCGGACTCCCTGATTTGACATATGCAGGGGTCCGTGTGACTCCCTGAAAATTCTGCCATACTACCTAGTTCGTTCCAGAGCACGGCCTCGTGAAAATACCGTATTTTTTCAGCTAATATCCAAAGAATATTTGACAGACGTGCAACCGCATGAATCTTAAAAATAAACACATGCGTTATTGTTAATATCTTTAATTTTGAACCTCAGACTGCGGACTCCCTCATTTTGCTGCGGACTCCCTCTTTTTGAAGGTAGGGAGTCCGTTGGACTCCCGTGTTCAAAAGTTAATTTCTACCCCTGTAATTAGGAGGTTGCTTGCCATATGAAGCCAACCAGCAAAACCGTAAGAAATAAACACTCTCTTGTACTCGAGAACTTGCAGTTTTTTGTTATAAAGACTACCAGTACACTATATAGTCCACATAGGACTTATAAGACATCAGTTACAGCATGTTGTTAACACAAACAACAAAGAACTATAACAACTTGAAATGACTTAGATGAAGTATAGACTGACCTGTAGTATCCTACAAGCCATACTCCTGACAGAATTGAAAATCCCTTAACGAATTTCATGAGAATGGGAAGCAGCTCGCTCTTCAGGGTGGACTTGGTTGCCTTGGCTGCTCCTTTTGCAACATGTTTGCACTTTTCCGAAGCTTCGACCTTCCGCTCGCTGCTAGACATTGTAGGTGTTGATGGACAAGTGTGATAAGATGATCTGGAAAACAAAAATAACAATCACAACACCATCAGTATAGGTTGCTCCGATGTTGCACAGTCGTAGCAGTACGGTGCACAGGCATTTGGAGCGTTTCAATAAAATAGAATGCTAAATAAATACGAAATCTATTTACTAACAAAGTCTTAATGTTTCTCTACTCTCTTTCACCTATTATTGATGACAATTTGCTGTAAATGCCGTCAAAATGCTCATCTGCAACACACGCTGGCCGCCGCACGCTAGCTGCTGCACACTGACACATAAATATATAGCAGGTAGGAAAGCGTGCTGCCAAAATTCGCTCGACGCTCGCTTGATTTCATGCGAATATAACACAAACATTCAATCATTCCACTCCATCTTTGTTTGCGAGTTGCTCCATCCGAGTTGCACAGTTTATGTAAATGGCTGCAAGTACAGGGCTATAGGCGGCGCACTGCATTTTGGGAAACTACCACCTGCTTTCCAACTCCCGTACGAGCCTCGTCAAAGCCGCCAGTGGAGCGTTGCAAAAACGTTGCAGCGTTGCGGTGCAAAAATGAGGTCACGAAGAGCACCGGTGGGTATCATTCTTACTGGATGTATAGTCACTATCAAAAGACGTAAGTCTACTTACTTACAGGTTACATAGGTCTATCATTCTTCTAAAACCTTTCTCATAATTCCCTAAACATGTTAAAATTATGCTTACCATTGCGGCAATCACCTCAGGCACATCGATGTAGTCTCCAGATTATTCACGTGCCATGCGCTAATACTCCCTCATACCGATTCATTTCTGCTCATAGCATTATTGGAGCATATCACCTGTACTTCTGCTTCCATACTACTCACCAGTCCCACCCTGACTCAAGATATCTTCATTATCATTGTACTTGTCACTTTGCTTATTTCTGTTCACAAATCGCTTCTGTCGTATGTTGCTTTCATAAGTCTGTTCGGCATTGGTTCCGTTGTCAGACAGTTCTTCATAATGGACTCACATTTCTCACGCCGCTGGAGATCGGCGCCGTTTCAAACGCAGAACTCGCCCAATCGTTCGATAGTGAGCTCATTGACCGGGTGTACAGATTGAATTATGCATTGCTATCGTCGAAACATGACATTTCGTCTCCGAACAATACCAAAAATTATTAGATATAATCGTTCATAAAAATTAGATATTGAGTCTCTTAAAGGAACGCCGGAACAGATGAGTCGCGATGAAACCCAACAAAATCGCGAAGTCGTGAATGAAATCCATCGAAATCTAAACTAACTCGGAGTAAAAATGCCGCCAACAAAAAACTTAGCTCAGAAAGCCGCAATTGCCAGCTGAAATCCATTTGAAATCTCGTTAAGGAACAGTGAAGCCTGAGTGGCGAGCATGTTTCTTATAACGCCATCCGAGAGTGTGGAATGCTTCCGTGGTCCGCGAAACGAATCATCAGTACCTGTTGACCTCAGCGCATCTAACTGCCGTCCGTGAGGTCGACGACGAGAGCGCATTGTAGCAGTGAGTAACACACGCACTACACGCAAAATTACAATGTGGTGTAGCTTACACCATTGGTTTAGCTTCCATTAATTTTACATCCATGACAAAATTACACTTTACAAGTACCTTACCTCCAAGAAAACGGTCTTGCTAGGTTAGAAGATAAGACAACAGGTCCACAGCATTGTCTATCCGCAAAATGCAGACGTTATAGTAACTCCGCTTGTAATTCTGAGGGTGCGTTTATCGCGGGGTAAGGACCATTACTGCGGTCGCGTCGGCTTCGGCTAAGCCCTTGTCGGGCTTAGAAACACAGTACCTAGCGAATCTAATTGGTACAGGCCATGCTAACACATCATCAACATACCTAAAATACAATAATGTAAACCGCAAACCCAGATAGAATACCTCTAATCCTCTGGGTGGTACATATTGTATCAACAACAATACCCAGCACGCGCAGGGGCTATTCCCCCGAGCAACACGCTATATTAATTTATATAAAATAATTATCCATTATATGTAGCTTTCCTATGATCTAAAATTCTAGCAATCTCTATATTCATTAAAATAAATAAAAATATATATATATATATATATACAGTATAGTACATAACTTCAAGTTTCATCATTTTCATCATGTTCATACCACGTGTTTTCAACAACACCATGGTTTTTCATCACGAAATGGTAACATAAAATTATTTATAATTATTGTTGAATTAGGTCTCCGACTAGCTAGCCACGTGCTCGTGACGTTCATCGTAAAAAATTATTTTTGTGTAATTTCTCGTTCCCCTTGTTAGCTCCATAACATGTATCCTATACTACATATCCATATTTATATAATCTCTTAAGTATGTATCAAAGTTTTTTCTGATGCTAATTTAATAATAAGAATAAGTCGCGTTTTCTAATATTCATTTGAAATGTTGTGGGGCACAGACGCGGGCAGATTCCATCTTAGCAGAGTGGTTGGAAGTGCGCTGCGCGCGTGTCACTGGTGTCATGATGGCTGCGGATGCCCTATCCAGATTATATTATAGAGATTCAGTGATTCAAGGAGCGCTTAAAATATGATTTGTCATATTATAATTATATTATATGAATTTATTCGTTATACTTAGTAGAATTGTATATATATGTATATAGGCTTCCTGTACGCAGATGCAAATCTAGTCGTTATCCTCTGAGCGTATCCTGAGTGAGCGAAGGGGCACTGCATACAGTTTGCACTGCATGCACCAGGACCTCCTAAACACCGAGAGACTCAAAATCCCATTGACCATTGATTTTTTCACTGACGGCGAGAGCATGCAAGCTCATGTTAATATATCTTTTACCAATGTACCGTCTTTAAATAAATAAATAAATAAATAAATACCATTTCAAGTCATTTCGAGCCATTCTGGTGTTTAGGGGATCGTCGCCACCTAGTGGTAGCATACGATAACAGTTTTCCAAGATGGAAGATCAGTTTGTATACAAACAATGATCTTGGCAACAATAATATCAAAAATTAACTCATATCAGTAAATCTAGCGTAAATTATGCCTCATGGTAAGGTAAGTTGAGGCGTAGTGCAACTGCACCTCTTAAATAAGATAATACTGTTACGGGTTAGGGTTTTAGAACATTTTAAGTTCGTTTTAAGCCAAGAAGAAGATTGTACTTAATTATAAGTTTGTATCCATAATACTTAAAAGCATAATCGAACCATCGATTATGCATAAGTTGGCCCGATCTACATGTAACTGCACGCTTGGTTGATTAATAATACCATTACCGTTATATGCCAAACGCGTAATTAGTTTGTCCAATATCACTGCTAATTACTAAGAAGATGTCTATTGAAACATCCGTAATTTTGGTAATTCTGCGACAACTGCGAAAATTCTATGGCCAACAAAATAAACCACGAGTTCGGTTCGGTGGCGTCCAGCATTGTTGCTTACAAGAATGTTGAGCACGATTGTTTGTCCCGGTAAATTGGTTGGGCCTAGTGTTATATTTGCGCTTAGTGGCCCACATTTAATTATGTTTGCTGTAATTCTCAAGAAGACGTATATTCATTTACCCGAATCCCAAGAGTAAAACCATAACGTACGAATGCGCACTTCAAGACTTACAAAAGGATGCGAAATCAGCTGACGGGCCGATTCATACCGTCGAAAATGTCCGTGCAACAATAATCTGTATGAGCACCGCGTCCCAAGTACTGACCGTTACACGGCGTGCATGACGGTTTCTAACCTGTCAACAACCGAGGTTTCTTGACTCGCGGATTTCAATATAGACATTTCCTTAGTAACCGAGCAGCAGGATATGGACAAACTAATACGCGTTTGGCGTATAAGGTAGTGACTTATTAACACACAACGGGCCAGTTTACTGTAGCATTCGTTAAAATTGCATAATCGATGGTCGAATTATGCCTGTTAATATAAATTAAAATAGATTAGGCCCCCTAGCGGTATACTTATACTAGGCCTAGTATACTACTTTGTACTTACTTGTTCTGGTTTAATTGTTATTGATGTTAAAAAATACAAAGAAGAAATGGCCCAAGGATATCATAGAGAACATGGGTCCCAATAAAACGCAATGTTGCTAAGCCCTAACCCTAACCCTAAATCTAACCCTAGGACCCTGAACGCTAATCCTAACCCTAACCCTATAACCTTATTCTATTGATATCCAATATAATATTTAATCTTGAGTAAAATGCTCATTGATTTATTGGACCCATGTTCTTATCATTGAACCGAAGAAATGTTGTTGTGTGTTGTGTATGTTTCAAAAAGATGGCAAAATAATACTAGGCCTAAAGATTAACTTTAATTTTAAGTATATAATTTTACAGTAAAACAAACTGGTATGGTTTTTATTTTCTATGTTAAAAACAGTTTTGATGCCTCTGCAGTTTCATGTCTATCTATTGAAGTGATTTGACTATAACATTAATATTTAAAAATGCCCTGCTGATGATTTGTCATACCCAGGGTCTCCCTACGTTGCGGCAAGACGGGCGCGCGCGTGAAACTCCCCCCTGTGTACAAATCGTTGCCGCTGCCCGTTAAATATAGCGCTGTGGCCCCGATTGAAATTCCACCACAATAAAAGTTTGCCAAGCGCAGGGAATGCGATGCGTCAAGAATTCCATTCCAGCCAGGACACGCCGACACGTGTATTTTAACGTACCGGACCATGCATCTGCAGACAATACCAAGTTCAAACAGTTTGACATGTCCTGAACCCAACCACTAAGTTAACTGTACACCGAACTCGGGCTATCTTATATATACAAGAACCCGCAAATACCGTCTATGGGTGTTGGAGATTTTACCATTAATTAAGTGTGTAGCGGTAAAAATACACGCCCCCCTGACGCCCTTAGTTTCCCCCTGCCCCTCCCATCTCCGTCCTCCCGACCTCCCTGCTGTTGAATTTCACCCTGGGAAAACCCTGAAACCTCACC